ATATGTGGGTTGAGTTTGTTGTTAGTTCTCTTCTCTGCTCCGAGAGGTTTTTCTCCGGGTACTCCGGTTTTCCCCTCTCCTCAAAAACCAACATTTCTCAAATTCCAATTCGATTCTTGACTGCACGGACATTTCTGAACGAGTTCTGTGAACTCCTTGGTGCTCCATGGGTAAACAACATACATTTACATTTTTTTTACCGGGTATCCAAACCTCCTTCACGGTTGTGATTTTCTTTGTTTTAACTTGATGAATTATTAATGAGTTTGAGACGCCTTGTGTAATTTTTGTGTGGTTAACCCTGTCATGTGAGAGGCGCTGGTGACTAACGTGTAGCATGCGTGATGGATTATGGTTGCTGAAAAATGAAGCGGTGTAAAATGTCTGCATATTACTTTTAACTCAGTGTCGAAAGTAACAAGGCAATTACAGTTTTGTTTTTGGTTTTGGTTTTACTACGGTTTGAGATTGACTGACTAGTGTTATTGGCAAGTAATTGGTTTGGTTTTGGTTTTGCGACACTCAACTGAAAACCGCTCTATTGAAAATAATTTAACACAACCTTTGTAGCTGTGGAGGATGGTGCTCTAGTGAGGGTCTGAGTTCTAGCATTTTATTTTATCGTTATCCAACGTACTTGGGTTTAGCACCTCACTTCTCTCTTAAGTTGGATGTGTAAATGTGTACCGTCATTTTGGGGAGAACATCACAAGTGAATGACTAACATCGCATTCAGGGTCAGAATTTTTGACCTTAGTCACTTCACGCTATAGAATCCAGAAATAGCTTTAGTTCCATTAGTCATTTGACTCTATCTATTGTCTTCTCGTTTCAGATTCACGGCTGCAATACGCACAGGTTTCAACTTCTCTGGCAACGAAATCTTGACATTCTCCGGCGGCGAGGAAATGTGGGTGTACATTGACAAGACATTTCTGGTGCAGTTATTTTCTGATCCACTGGACTCTGATGTTCCATGCCGCACTATCAGCTTGGCAAATGCTGGTAAGTTGCAATATAAGTCTGATATGCCATTTGTCGTTATCTAATGTAGTTTCCCCTGAGCTCATCATCAACATCATTACAATTAACTCGCCGTATTGTCGGTATTTGGAATTCTGTTGGTGTTCTGTCAAGATTAGTACCCTTGTAATCGTTTGTTCCGTATCATTTGAAGAATCAGCGTATTGTTTACGTACGGTGCTGCTTTCAATCGTGTTTATCTACTGTGTTTCTCTGCTTTTAGCTGGTAACGGATCTATAGTCCCTGAAGGTGGCTCAGTTATTGGTGGAAAATGCCAAAGCAATGGCTCTCTTCCAGCAGAGACAGTTAGCCTGTCCCTAAGGGTAATACATCTAATGACATATTCTTGAGCTTGTGTCCTGTTTATGGATGTGTTGACTTGTCTAGCCCAGACTAGCCTAGCCCAGCGTAAGTTAGCCTAGCTTCGTTTAGTCTGCCCTAGTCCAGCCTGAAATACATTAGACTGGTCCAGCCCAGTATAGTGTACGCTATCGTAGTGTAGCTCTAGTCTAGCCACTGTCGCATTCTAACCTCTGATAGTTTGTCCCGGTGTTTATTGCAGATCAACGAGGCATACCGTTTAGATGTCTTCATTGCCGAGAGATTCCGTTGTAAATCGCACATTTTGTTTCAGTCGAGTGGAGTATCATTTCTGCTAGATGACGCCCGACCTGCAGACTATTTTGCAGTAATTAGCGAGGATGCACATGTTGGATCTCTTGTGCAGGTTAGATCTGCGCTGATCAGCGCACTTGTAACAGTTCCAATTAAAACGTAGCTTTCTACGTAGACATTCTTTTGGCTTGTCTGATCCAAACGAACCTCTGTGTAGG